CATATGACGTCCTCCTTCTCTAATCTCAATCCTGCTCATTCCTTGAGAAACCCTGGAAGGATCTTTCAGGATCCTGAATATCAAAGATCTTATCAAGTTTTACTTAGGATCCTGTTTCCAGAATTTTTCAAGGTGAAACAGGACCCTGTTCAAAATTTCTTCTGGTTCCTGGTGAGATATTTTTCTGAGTTGAGAATACAGGATCTTACCAGAATTTACTCAAGATCCTCTCAATAACCCTCTCAAAATTATGAGAGAGGATTTTGCAAAGATTTTATCAGGTTTCCGTCAGAATCTGGATCAAATCTTTGTATCAGGATACTCCCAGGGTTGATATTCACACCCAGACGACCATCTTGGCAAGAAAATAACAAGATTAGTCAGAGTACGAAACCGAATATTCCAGCAAAGTTTCAATCTGGATCCTATTCAGAACCTTTCTAGAGTATGCGTTTCTACAGTTTTTAAGAATCATAAATCTTGAGCATTCTGTCAGGTTTGATTGAGAAATTCTATCCACAGTTGATTCAAGTTCTTGCTCCGATTTTTTTTTGTATCGATATTGCAGGGTCCTATCAGCGCTCACTTTCGATCCTATTCAGAAACCTGACAAAAGTCATCAGAAAAATATCGTCAAGATCTGTTCTGGATTCTTATATAAGGATCCTGTCAAGAGTTATGTTATATCAGAGAAGGACCTTATCAGGAATAAAACAAGATTACTGAGAATCTTCAACTGAATAATCCTGCCAAGCTTCGACCAGAATTCTGGGACGAACTGTTTAAGAACAGACATTTCGAACCCTGAAAAAAAGCACAAGTATGAGCAGCATCTTGATAGGAAAATACGAGGATCCAGTTAAGATCTTTTCAAGCTGTGTTTAGAGACTATTCAAAATTTTCAGGATGTTGTCAAGAACCAAACAAGAATGAATAATACAACTCCTTCACGTTATTAGCTAGGTTTAAATCAGAATCCGTTCAAGATTTGTAAATCTATAGATCACATCAGAATTTCATCACGAATGGTGAGTATAATCTCAACAAAATAAATGGGATTTTTAAAATGTTATTGGACTTTTATTTGAAACAGAACAAAATTCTGATAGCTGAATAATCTACTAGCATTTCTGTTCTTATCCTGATTTCGTACTTTTAATAAGGAAATAGAACGGATCTTATAAATCTCAGAAAATTATTTTCTAAACCTCTGCAAAGTTTATATAACAATTGGTTTGAGATTCGATCTACAATATCAAGTTCTATTTTAGCTTATCAGGAAAATAAAATTGAAAATCGTTAAATTAGGTTGTCAATTTGAATTTAGTCATCGTAAAATTTTTTCGCTAAATAACGTAGGATACCTTGGGCCTCGATTCGCATATTCCGCAACTGGATTCGCTCACAGTTGGGACCAGAGGCTAAACTCTACGGACCAAGATAGAGCTCAACGAGTTCTATCCAATGCACTATTAACTTTTTCTCCAAAACCATTCCAAGCGGAAGAAAAACCTAGAATATTGTAAACAAATTAGCAACTAAAATCCGATCTTTTTCGTAAAGTGCACCGCGATTCGCATCTAGTTGGGACCAACACTTGAAAACCATACCAACAGATAGAACTCGGCCAGCTCTATCCAATGGACACCTTTCAACATATTTCAAATACTTCCACCCCATTAAAATCTGCCGATACCCAGAAAACCTGCTTTTTCAATCAAGAACCGCTCCGGGATTCGCTCCCAGCTGGGACTAAACGCTGGAAATAACATACGTCGAGAGAACTCGACGAGCTCTATCGAATGGACACCTTTCTTCTTCGATTTGATGCTTGGATCCCCTCCGAAAGGGCAAATCCAAATCTCAATCCAAAAACCCTTCAAACAATATTGCCCTTTCATTAGATCTTTATGTCGAGTATGCAAAACAAATATGAACAGAAAAAAAATTAAAATAATTTCATTTTTTTTAAGTTCTGAGTTAAAATAAATAAAAAACAATTTAATATTCTTTGTTAAAATTATTACAAAATTTTAAAAGGTAATCGCTTAAAAATTAATAAAACCAATGAGGTTTGAAAATAATTAGAAAACAATTTAATAATGTCGAATACTTCATGAAGAAATTACGAAAAAATTTTTTCTTTCAAAAAATAAAATTTGATGTATGATATACAATACATACATGTACGTTGCTCTATCTTTCGTTTCTTTCATGCTGTTGATCACAAGAAAGAAATCAATGAAATATTTTTACTTTCTTATCGATAAATATATCGACGACAAATAGGAGGATGATGATCACGATAAACAGAAAAATGTGTTTTTCTTTCTCTCTCGTTCTTCTTCATACTAATAATACGTTATTCACCAGTAATTTTTTTTTCTGTTCCTCTCCACACACCCGTCCTTCATGAAAATAAGAACGAAATGTAAATGGAAAGATGTCGTCTTCTTGCTGTCATCACGAATAGTTGAAATTCAAAGCAATACGCACAATAAGAAAAAACCTAAATTAACACGTGAAACATTAAGAAAGATGAATTTAAAAAAATTTAGCACTTTAATAGAAATAAAATAAAATTTGTTGATATTTGTTTTGCATACTCGACATAAAGATCTAATGAAAAGGGAATATTGTTTGAAGTGTTTTTGGATTGAGATTTGGATTTGCCCTTTTTGGAGGGGATCCAAGCATCAAATAGAAGAAGAAAGGTGTCCATTCGATAGAGCTCGTTGAGTTCTATCGATCTATGCCATTTTAAGCTTTTGGTCCTAGCTGGGAGCCAATCCCGCTGCGGCTTCCTGGAAAACCCAGGTTTTCTGAGTATATTGGGATTTTAGGGGGAGGGAAGTACCTAAAATACCTTGAAAGGTGTCCATTCGATAGAGCTCGTCGAGTTCTATCGATCTATGTTATTTTCAGCTTCTGGTCCCAACTGTGAGCGAATCCAGGTCCAAGATATTCTACGTTGAGATTGATGAGTCGCTATTATATTTCTTCATAGCTAAGTTAGTTATCTTTACGAAAACGAGTACGTTTTAGAATTAATAATCTATTGTTTAACTGGTCTCCGTTTTCGTAAACATGATTCATTTAGCTATGGAAAAGTATACTAGCGAGTCATCAATATCGTAAGAACAGGGCGCATATTTGTGTGCACCAGAGACGGACACAAGACAGGACAAAATTATAATCTATGTTCTGTCCTGCCATCCGTCAGGACAGTGTCAGACATCATGGCAGAACAAAAAAAGTTGTCCTGTGCCCATCTCTGGTGTGCACTACTTTTGAGTTGAGCAAAGCGATTGAATATTGATTTTGTTTCTTTCGTAATTAATCGATGAAGGCTCAAGTGTCGGGAGCTTAATTGTCGGTGTACCCATGAAATGATATGTATATATTCTTCCCAGCTTATTTTTGTTTTGTTTTTAACTTTAGTTTTTCTCAAATGATATACAATAAAAAAAATGATCAATCAAAAGTCAACTTTTGTTCTGTGCATAAAAATCTTTGAACATATCTTTCAATAACTATATATTGTTCATTAACGTATTAAATAAATAGACTGGATTTTGCTTATTGATTATATGAATAAGAGCAGATTACCGTCAATAAAATATATTTGATATCAATCAAAATTTAGAGTATGATATTTACATTTTAAAACAAAGTAGAATTCATTCAATAAAACGATCTATTGCATAAACTTCTATGAAATTTTCCATATGGAATAAATAATCATTTAGTTGAAAGTTTTATAACACATAAAACTGATTGAGAAATAAAAACAACTAAATTTGATATTAATGTATTCTCTTGTTTTTCGAAGAACTTCACAATGCAAGTAGATAGAAGTCTGCAATTTTCATTATTCGAAACGAACGAAATAGAAAGAGGATTTGAACCTATGAGAAAAACAATTGTTGGATTGACCCATAAAAGTGTACGATAAATACGTTTTCAAATTTTTCTGAAACCTATAATAAAATGTTTCTATGCTTGGTATTTAACATTGAAAGAGAACTAATTCAAGTATAAAATATACAATAGACGATGTTTCTCTATAATTTGAACTCATCAAAATAAACTTTTGAAGTTGTTTTGTTTAAATGAGAATAATTTCTTGGGATAAAAAAGAAATAGCAGATTTTAATATATCTGAATTTATTTTATTTGTTTTAGACAAGTTAATTGTAGAGTGAAAAACATGTTTTTTGTTTAACAGATTGACTTTCACATAGAATCATATATCCACTTTATTCTTCTGGATAGTGAAAAGTGACATTTTCCATCGAGCTGCTTTTATGAATTATTCAAAACACAATGAAACACTTTATTTTCTAAATGACAAGTAGTTTGTAACTAATCACATTGACTTTTAACAAAAGAAAAGTTCTTATTTTTAAAATCGTGAAAATATATTCTTATGAAAATCAAACATTATATATCCAATAAAAAGAAAATTTAATGTTAAGCTTTTATAATTTATTTAATGAAATGAATTAATCATTTGTTTCTTAATAATTATTAATTTTAGTCTAAGAAAAATATTAAAAATGCTTTTATATTTATTTAATAATAAATTTTTATTTATAATATTTGATTCTCTATTATATAACCAATACAATACTTATCTTACGACATATAAATTGAAAGTTTTATAATTCAATTTAAACTTGTCGATCAGTATATATTCTGTACAAAGAAGAAGAAGATTCACATTTATTATTCTATTGTTATTTTCTTTCTACAGTGTTTCCCTCGATAGAATACTATCAACTTTAGTAAGAAAGAAAGAAAGAAAGAAAATGATCAGAAAAACATATAGATAAAATACACGAAGTGGTGTGATATCATTTTCTTATTGCGATTCATTATCTAGGTATATATACAGTTGGAGATATAAAAGTATCTATTATAGTGATTCTTTACTATTTTCCTTTCGGACGTAAAAGTTTACAATAAGGCAAATTTTATTTATTTATATTCCGTCAACAATGATTTGGGTAAAATAAGCTTTTTTAAGGTTTTTTTTGTGATATTTCTTCTAAAATTGTTTTCATTTGAATAGATTTCATTGATTTGTTGTTTGCTTACTCTGTCAAACTCGGTTTTAGGACGTTCTGGTAAATAAAATGAATTTTGTTTTGACTTTTTTTAAAAATTAATTTTTCAAATTTAGCATATGATTTGCCTTCTTCTGTGCCACATAGTCAAACTGCAAACTTAATTGGAATGTCTGATTTAACTATGCAACAAAAACCTTTATTGGGTCAACCTTTAATTCAAAGCCAATTTTCTATGCAAAATATTAACAGACAACAACCCCCAAAAATAACCGATATGTCATCAAGGTAAATAAAAAGAAAATATTTTATTTATTTATTTTAAGATGAAATGTTTTTGTTTTCAGTTGGATACAAAGTGTTCAACAAGATACTTCAAAGATTCCAGTAGGGTACGTCTAAATCCGAAAAGCGTTTTTGTTTTGGTTTTTGATAAATAATCTTTTTTTGTTTAGTATTCAACAAGTTCCACAAAAACAACAAACATTTAGTCAAACTGAACAAACTGTTGTTAATTCACAATCATTTGGTGAACAACAACCAATGAATTTTCCATCGTCTGAATTTGTAAAACCACAAAAAAAATTACAAACGGTTCAACGAGCGCAAATACATACAGATGCTGGTCATATTTTATATTTTATTAAAACATTTAATCTAACTTTTTTGTTGTTGTTTTAGACGTTCTCTGTCGTGGTCAACGTCCAGAAACTGTTATTCCATTAGATGATAAACGTCGATTTGTTGTCTGTCTTGATAATAGCAAAGGTTTTGAGCAACGATGTCCAAAAGGTCTTTACTATCATCCTGAATCACATCGATGTGAACGTAGTATGTTATTGTTTTCTTTACTTTTCTCTTTGATAATTTCTTTTCTTTTCTTTTTTTTTTTTTACTTAGAATACAAAGGATTGGAAAATGCATGCGCTCAAAAACCGTGTCTTAATGATGGTCAATGTCTTCCAGCTGATGTTACATCATATAAATGTCAATGTCCAACAGGTTTTGATGGTAGAAATTGTGAATTAGATGTTCGTGCCTGTGAAAATCAACAACCATGTGGACAATCACCAGATCAACGATGTCAATCATTTCGTTTGGGAGCTGCTCTTCAATATATTTGTATTCTTCAAAATGGTCTTGCTTATGGTCTTAATCCTCAACAACGTTAATATTTATTTATTTAAAAAAAAAACGAAGATCTAATTAAATATATTCTTATTTTATCTTTTTTAGTTCAACCAAGTCCATGTCAAGGTACTGATGGACCACAAGCCTTAACTGTTACTGATAAAGGTTTTATCATGTGTGATGGTGAACGTATGTTTGTTGAATCATGTCCAGGTGGTACTGTTTGGGATGATCTTAACAAAGCTTGTGTTTGGCCAGATATGCAAACTTTTATTGATCATTCATTTACTGATCAATCAAAAAAACAACAAGGTTTCTTTTTTTTCCTTTTTTGGTTTTTACTTTTTTAATATGAAATAAAGTTTCATTCTTTTGTTAGTTTCAACTAATAGTCAACAACAACAAGAATCATTAGTTACTTCAGCAACACAAAATACTCAAACCCAAAGTTCACAACAAACACAAGTTAAACAAGAAGAATCAAATTCATCGTTTGATATTCAAGTTTCAACTCCAAAACCACAAACAGAATCTCCAATATCACAACAAAACACATTTTCTCAGCAAGAAAAATCACAACAACGAGAACAAATCCAACAATTTGAATTACCACAACAACAACCAACGGAAATACAAGAATCTAAATTGTCACAACAAACACAACAAATGCAGGAAGTTCAATCCTCATTTCCTCAATCAGTAATGCCACAACAATTTGAATTCGAACAAGAAATGCAACAATATAAAATACCACAACAATTCTTACATCATCAACAAGAAACAATAGATAAGCCAGAACAATTTCATTTAACACAACAACAACAACAACAACAACAAGAAGAAGAAGAACAAGAACCAATAGAAGAATATCAATTTGAAAATCAATATGCACTTCCTCAACAAGAAACAAGAGAACAATTTCAATTATTAAAACAAGGAGAACAAATGAAACAATATCAATATCCAAAACAATATTCGCTTTCTCAACGAGAGAAAATTCAACAATTTCAAACTCCTGAACAACAATCATCAATCTATGATGATCAAGAACAATTTCAAAGATCTCAAAATTGGGAAGAACCATTTCATGGATTTCATACCTGGCAACAACCAATTCAACGACAACAAGATTTTCGTCAAATATTACAATAAACATTAAGTTATCTAAAATGAGCAAGATCGAGTTTTTTTTCCTGAAACTTTTATGTTTTAACAACATTATATGCTTTTCATTTTTATTTTTATTCTTATATATTCATCATCATGATATTGCAAAAGTCTTTTCTGAATATTATTTTATTTCATCATATTTGACAAACAATTGATTATCATTTTAGCATAATATATCATTTTCATCATCAAAGAAGAAAAAAGAAAAGAATAAAGGATAAAGAATAAATTATATTTAAACAGAATTAGTTAATTGAAGTTTATTAAAAAGTTTTTTGTTGAGCATTTAAGATATAATGATATTTGAGTAATTGAAAACGATATCGTTTTAGTTTAAGTCGAATAGAATATAAATCGGTACGTAATGATGTTAATTGATATGTTATAATTCGATATTGTTCATTTGATAAACGAATAGTTTCACGTTCGATTTGTGTTGATGGCCAATTAAGTAAATGTTGAATTAAATCAGCACGATAATATCGTGTTATATTATCAGAATTTGAATTTGTTATTGTTGAACGTAATAAAGATGATGAATGTTCTAAGTGAAAAATAGGTCGATGAATAATAAAAGAAGAAATATCTTTATCAATTTGTGTTTTTATTGATTGTTTTCTATGAAATAATTTGATTATATTTTCAATAAAATAATTTGATAATATATCATAATGAGATTGTTTTGATGAATTAATAGTAAATGGAATAGAAATGTTATTAAGACTATTGTTTGATGTTGAAATAAGTGAATCAACATGATCAATTTGAATTATTTCATTTTGTGGTGGTGATGTTGGTGTTGTTATTAAAAGAGTATTATCATTTTTTATATTATCTTTTCGGAATTTTTTATATGATGATTTAACAATTTCAATAGAATCTTTTTTTCGTTTATGATTATGTTCATTATATTTTTTATAATTATTAATTGTCATAGATTTATTTAAATCGTTTTTATTAATTGATCGTTGATAAATAGAAGATTTTCTATGTGAATAAAATGATTGATTATGAATTGAATTAAACCTATGATTAGATATTGAAATAAAATTTGATGTCGAATAATTTGATTTTTTAAAATGATATTCATTGTTGATAAATAAATAATCATTATTATTTGAAGACTAAACATAAAAATTTATCATAATAGAATTAAATATCCTTACTCGTTTTGAATGAGTATTATATTTATAAATAGAGTTTTTTTTAATTGATGATAATAATTGTTCTTGTGATGGTTTTTCCCATTGAGATTGATCAGTTATAATATTATAATAATAAATTCTTCCATTTGAACTTTTATGTTTTTCCCATAAACAAGATGATTGTTGTTGTTGTTGTTGTTGTTGTTTAGGACTTTTGTTTGTTTTTGGCTTATGATAATGTTGTTGAAATGAAGAAGTTGTATGTGATTTATTTCGAATTTGGTGTTTTGGAATATGAAAACGTCGTTCAACTTCTCGATAATTATGTTGAGAAACTTTTCTTCTTTGATATTTTTCACGATAATGAATAACAGTTGGAGATAATGGAGAAAGAGAAGGAGAATTATTTTCTCGATTTAAATCAACTGATACAGATGACAATGCCATTCAACTAACAAATTAGATAATCATTATCAATCAGATGATATACTTTGAAAAAGTTCGTGTTGTTTTTTCTTGCTTAGAAACATAATGAATATTCTCTCTTATAGATTCATTAGTTCAATATATATACTATAAACTATTAAGAACAAAAACAAAACAAAAGAACTCTTTTGTAAGTTGCAAGTATTATTATAGATTAAAATTTGTTTAATGTTAAGTTATCGACATGAATAATATTCAAACTAAATGAATAATAAAAATGTATAATGCTTTGTTTTCTAATATGTTCATCATCAAAATTCATAGTGAAAGATTAAGAGATTCGACTAAAATATTCCCAATCAAATCATGTTAAATATTCATATTTAAATATAGAAAAAAAAAATAATTACAAAGATAATTTTTTTTAAATATTTGAATATGAATATAAGATCAAATCTCATTTGATTCATCAAATTAAAAGTGATGAGAAGCATTAATTTGTCTTCATGATGAATCATTTAAAGATTCATTATCGAATGAAACATTTTTTTAGCAGAATTTCTATAATAATTCGACTTAAATCAAATCATTTGATAGCGACTATTATTAAGATATACATATTCAATACGAAAAAGTTTGCAACAACTAATATTTCATTCACGACTATATATCCTAATGCACTCATATTTAACTATCAAAGTTCAGAATTAGAAATTTAATACGGTTAAATCCGTAAGAAGTAAAGTTCGTTAAGAAATAAAAACAAACAATTTAATATTGTTGGATTATATATGTATATATATCGTGTTTGTGTGTTAATGTTGATAAATATTGTATTTATCGGGTAATTTGTTTACTAAATAAGCTATTTTCTTTCATATTAAATATAATAATATTATAACTTCACAAAGAAATCATCAAATTAAATCGAATAATGAACTGTTATATTCAAATGGTAAAAATATATCAAATTTGAATAATGATACATAAATTATGTCATTTTTTCTTATTATTTTTAAATGAAAATTTTTTCTTTTCTACTCTAAAACTAGATATTCTTGTGAAAAAAACATAAATATTCGAGAATATTTTCACAAAAATAATTTCTTGATGATATTTAAATTTTTTTGTTTTATATAATAAATCGAACTGATTATTTACTTTTTAAGAATTTCTATTCTATTAATAGATCGTATTGATTGAAAAAAATGTTTTCATTAAAATGTGAGTTAAAACAAAAGATATTGATTAAACAATATTTGAAATGAAACATATTCGATATATTCTATTTTATTTGACATAAAGTATGAAGCAAGAAGACAAGAAAATTTATGAACAAAAAGCCGGTTTTTTCATATATTCATATTGTAAGACGCGAATCTAAAATAATAAATAAAATAAAAATAAAAATAAAAGTAAAGTAAAATATTAACTTCTTTGATAATATTTTGAAAAATGAGTTCATATTGAATAAAATCTTGTTGACATTGTTTAAGTGCTTCTTCCATCTGATAATCAACACGTGTTAAAATATGCCAATCAATTGATAATATTGATGGATATTTAATTGATAATGTATCATCTTGATTAATATAATTATCCCAACTAAAATTATATAATAATATATTTAATTAATAAAATTAATAAATAAAAATTTACTTTTGATTATCTTCAATTGATGATATATCATTTGTTAATAATGGTTCAAGTATAGTTGTATCTTGTGTTCGTATTCCAAGTAATTGTTTAAGTGATGTTAATGGTGTTGTTGGAGTTTGAGATGGAATCATAATTAATGGTGTTGGAGGAGATTCAATTGAATATTCAATTGAATTATTTATTATATTTATTCGAGAAAATTGTTCAACAGGCCATGTTAAAATATTTGAACGAAGATCATTTGATAATGATAAATGCATTATATTTAATGAATGAATACGTGTTGGAAGATCACTTAAAAGTCGAGCATAATCACGAATTTTTAATTCAAGTCTATTCAATAAGAATTTTTTGTTTTTTATAATTAAAAATAAAAAAAAATCTTTAATTACTTTTCTAATTTTTCTAAAGGATTTTCTTGAATTATTTTATTTAAATGATTATCAATTCGATTAAGTTCATTTCGTTTTTCAATTATTTGTTGATGAATACGTGGAATTAATTTTTCATCACATTTTTTTGTTTGTTCAATTTCTGTTTGAACTTTTTTTTTTAATAAACTTAAATGAACTTCAACTGATTTACTCTAAAATTATAAATTATAATTATAATCAAGAATTTCTTTTTTTTAAATATTTCTTTAACTAACAGCAATCATTGCATCTAGAATAGACATTAATTGTGTTTGTTCAATTGATGATCGACGAGATAAAACTTCTCGTTTACTATCTTCAAGTCGACTACGAAGTTTTCCACATTCCATACGAATATTTGCCAAATGTACAAATCTAACAATAAGTTTCAACCATATATATATATATATTTTAAAGAAAAAAAAGATATGTTATTTAGGAGAGAACGTCTTTAAGTAGGCTTTCTCGAAATTAGTTATCAAAAAGACTATATATCAAAGATATCGAATTATGGAATTTCGACATGAAACGATACTCAGAAGTCTCATAATCATTAAAATCTCCTAAAAATTCTAATAAATAGTTATCTTGTTGAAATATGCACTGTTCAAAAATGATCATGTATCGAAAGAATAGGTCAGAAAATCGAATGTGTCTTTAACATTCAATATTTCAAGAAGAGAAAAATACATTTAATCTGAATTTTTTAGCATATTCTAATGAGAATGCACTCTATGTATGGACATCGCTTAAGGTCAAAATTCCATAATTCAATTTTTTCATATAAATGTCTTGTCAAAGATGAAAAATCCAGTAAAATGATCATAATTCATTACCAAGAGATTATGGATTCTAATCGTTTGGAGAGTTACCTAGTCTCAAAAAATTCTATTGCCGACCGAAGTATCAGCTTGAATGGCTGGTGACACTTAAAATCTTTCTTCATTATCTAATAACTTATCATCCATAGAAAAAAAGGTCAAAAGTTATATTCTCAATGAACAGTTAATCTTACTTCTACATACAACTATTTATACTTATTTGTTTTGTAAAACTCTGTAATGTTGATAGTTCTAAAGAAAATCAGACTAGAATCTATCTCGAAATTCAACACTATATAAAATGTATTATTCATTAATGATAATTACCGAGTTTGTTAAACTGTGAATTCTCATATAATTTAAAATCTAATCAAATATATCTATGTACGAAAGAAATTCTATCAAACAATGAAGATCTTGAATGAATTTTTTTCTTTATATTTCAACAAATGTAAAAAATATCAAGATGGATTATAACAGTAGATTACGTACAAATATAAGGAGCTAATCTTTTTCATATATATAATTCAAATGAAAAACAGAAGGATTTTTTTCTCTTCTCAACAAAATCAATGGATTCTTGATGATTTAAATTATTTGAAATAAAACTATGTTAGTTCAGTTTTGTTGAATTCTTGAAACTTTTCCAAAACAATTTACTAAGATATATAAAGTATTTTAAATTTAATACCTAAGAACAAATAAAGACGATCCACAAAAAAAAGTATATTCTCATAAAAACTTAATAAGATCTGAAGAAAGATGAATTTATAGATCGATAAAAATGTTGATTAATTTGTATTAGAATAATACTTTTTTTAATAAAACTAGTTTAGAATCTAAATATGAGACATATCTAGATTCCTTATCTTAACTGAGATCAACATTGGGTAAGTCTATAAACGTCAAAAACGATATTACATAACATCTATTCAAACTTGATCCTAGAGAACGAAACGATAATCATAAACGATGACATGAGATTTGAACAATCGTTAAAAACAAAAAATTTAAAAAGAATAAATAATAATACTGTTTAGTAAAATTGAGATTAGCTTTTGTAAGAGCTAATTCATAAGTATCAATTATTGTTGAACTTTGTTCTTGTTCGTCTTTTTCTATTTTACTAAAAACATAAAGTATAGAAATAAATGAATAAAAACAAAATAGGTAAAACATAAAAAACCTAAGTTGATTAATTCGTTGTTGAATAAGTGTATTCATAAGAGAACATAAATCATTCAAATTAATTGATTGTTGAAATATTTCCGTTAATGAACTATTTGGATTGATTAATTCTGTAACTAATCCTAAAAATAAAATAAAATAAAATATTCTTTATTATAAAATGATAAAATAAATAAATTCCTTGATGATTTGTTCCATTAATTGATGTTAATAAATTTAATTGTTCTTTTATTTGAGATAATTTATTTAAATAAATGGATAATTGTTGATAAATTTCAAATTGTTTATCAAGTGAAGATATAATATTATGTTCATCATTAATCATTGTTTGTACACGATTTAATTCATTAAAAATATTTGTTGATTGTTCTGAACGTGCTGAATAAATTTCACGTAAACGAAGACTAATTCTTTGTTCAATTTGACCTTCCTGTATTTGAGCATTTTTATGTTGTACCCATCGATCTGGATAACGTTCTTTTAATTCAGAAATGCGTAGAGTTTCTTTTACTTTTCTAAAACAAAAACAAACAAACAAAAAAAAGAGTTCAAATATAAATCTAATATTTGTTTGTAAATTTTTAAAAATTACTTGACATAATCAGTTGGATGACAATGTCGAATAATTGTTTGCCAAATATCTTGTAAATTTGGATTCGATGTGAGACAACGTAAATTATCTTCATCAATAATAATATCAGCTATTTAATTAAATAAGAAGAAAAAAGAAAATGAAAGAATGAGAAGCATAAAACTTACATTGAAATGATTGAAACCAACGAGCCAATGCATCAGCTGTTGATATTGAACGATCTTCACCTAACATTTTTTTTCTTTCTACTCGCGCTTTCATTTAAAACAAGGGTATTAAAATACATTGATTCAAATATTGTTAACGCCATCTATATAATTCAGTTAGTCTCTAGTTTCTCTATTGAAAAAAATAAAAATAAAATATATTTATTATAGTTTCTATTGTAAATTGAGGTTTTTTGAAAATGAAAAACGTTGAATACAAATCTAAATGGATATTGAAAAAACTAATGAAGTGCAAGGAGGTTTTCGCTGGTTAACGGTAACTACTTTCTTTTTTTTCTACACAGAATTTTGTGTTTATTAATGCCACTACAATAGTTTAGTCATTCAAGTGATAAAATAGATCATAAAAATATATAATAACGTGTTCGCGAACCTTTAAAAAAACCTAAATAGTGTTTTAACAAAAGATTGAAAACTAAATATTTCCCATCGATTAACGAATGAATCTGACCAAATGATAAATCGCTTTAGAAATGAGTCTTTCTTTATGAAGTCAGTCTTTTAAAGACTAGATAATATCTCAAACAATTAATGCTTAAAGATCTTTCTTCTTGAATGAGGATTATTTTAGTGAGTTGTTTTAAACAAAATATTGTAAAATTGTTCAAATCATTGTCAAAATTGACCTTCAAATTTCGAGTTAAAACTTGTCACAGTTAAAATTCTCAACAAGCCTCGTTCATTGTGATAGTATTAGATTGTTTTATTAAGTGCTATTCTCAGATATCGATATTAAAAATTCTTTTATTCGAAATCGAAAAACTAATTTTGACAGTAATTTTAGAAAAACCACGACAATTTTCTAAAAAAGAAAAACTTCCTAAAATTGTTATCATTCAAAAAAGAAATATCTTTGAATATGAACTTAGTTAGACATCGTCTAGTGTCAATGAAGACTACTTAACGAGATAAGATTCATTTGTAAAACGATTTATAACTTGATAAAATTCTCTCGTACGACATATTAGTGACAACGATCAACATTTTCTTGGGTATTATATATCCGTAAGCTATTATAAAGAGCAATAAAAAATTTCTTTTGATTTATTTATTAAGAATGATGTTAGCTCGGTGTACATGTAATAATACAGTTCTTCGATTTGTTGTTTTGTCATCGTCATTTTCACGAAATCGGCTTAATCGATCTTCACTACATCAATTTTTTCGTATAATTTCTTCGAATTTTTCTTATAATTACCCCACATTCACTATACCATTATCATCGACTAACGATTCCACAATAGTAAAATTATCATAAAAAAGAGCAACTGGTTCTTAATACATGTTCACCTATTTAGTTTTATTCTTGTCGTTCATTTTCAATATCTTCAAGTCGATTATCACCTCCTGTTGTTCAATTTAAATTATCTGATATTGGTGAAGGTATACGTGAAGTTGAAGTTCTAGAATGGTTTGTTTTATTTTAATATCATAAACTAATTTATTAAAATTAAATATTAAAATTTATCAAGGTATGTTCAAGTAGGTGATAATGTCAAACAATTCGATAAGATTTGTGAAGTTCAATCGGATAAAGCTAATGTAACAATAATATCTCGATATGGTGGAACTATTGTTAAACTTCATCATAAAGTTAGTGACACAGCTAAAGTTGGTCAACCACTTGTTGATATTAAACTTGAACATGATATTGATGTATTAACAGGAACTAAAAGTAATAATTCTTCTTTTTTTTCCTTTTAAAAAAAAACTAAAAATGAATATTTCTTTTTTAGCTGCAACTATTATGCCAGAAGATACATTTGATAATACAGCTTTAAATAAAAATTCCTCAATTAATATTTTAGCTACTCCTACAATTAGACAAATGGCTAAAGAATTACAAGTAAATGAATAGAATGTAATTTATTTTCTTTTTTAATGTATTGGTTTTTTTTTTAGATTTCGTTAAGTGATGTTCAAGGTACAGGAAAAGATGGAAGAATATTAAAAGAAGATTTAATTCATTTTAAATTATCAAAATCAACATCATCTAAAACCTCACCTACAAGTCAGTTTTACCTTGTTTACCAACAAAATTTTTATTTCTAATCTTAATAAAAAAAAATAGTTTCTCCACCATCACCAACAACCGTTAAACAAACAACAATATTTCGTCCAGCGCCAATACCTTCTTCATCAAGTCTAAAAAAAATGACTAGTCGTTCTCAAACAACATATATTACTGATAGAAATGAACCAATAAAAGGTATTCATAAGACCATGATTCGAACAATGACTCAAGCTAATTTAGTACCACATTTTACTTATTGTGACGAATATGATATGACACAATTAATTAAATTAAGAAAACAATTAAAAAATTCATCAGATAATAAACAAAAACTCGAATTTTCTTATATGCCATTTATAATAAAAGCATGTTCACAAGTTTTACTTGATTATCCCATTCTTAATGCTCATGTTGATTCAAAATGTGAAACAATAACGTATAAAGTAATATTTAAAAAATCAAAAATAAAATTTCTAATAAATTCAATTAAAGGGTTCTCATAATATTGGTATTGTAATGATTACAAAAGATAGTTTATTTGTACCAAATATAAAAAATGTTCAACAATTATCAATTACTCAAATTACAAATGAACTTAATCGTCTTCAACAACTAGCGCAAAATGGAAAATTATCAACAGAAGATCTTACAAGTGGAACATTTTCATTATCAAATATTGGAGCTGTAAGATTTGTTTTTTTTTGTTCAATTCATCGATTTTTTTCTCATTAATATTTATTAAAATAGATTGGTGGAACATATACTGTACCTGTTCTTCTTTCACCTGAAGTAGCTATTTGTGCATTAGGAAAAATCGTCGTAAATATTTTCTTTATTTTTTATTTAAATAACTATATTATATTAATAGCGACAAGCAGTTCCAGATGAAGATGATGAAAGTTCAAGTGATGATGAAGAATATTACTCATCTCGCGTTCGTTCAATAATGTCAGTTAGTTGGTCAGCTGATCATCGTATTATTGACGAAGCAACAGTGGCTCAATTTTCAAATCAACTCAAATTTTTACTTGAAAATCCACTTCATATTCTCATTAATTAGTAATTTATGTACTTTCTACTTTTCATTTCTAGAACAGTAAAATCTTCTTAGTACAAATATATTTTCCTATATTACATTGCAATGATCAGCTTTAATTGTTAGTGGTTTGCTTTTAGGTTGAAAAAAGAAACCGGTAAACAACGATTGATATGGTGTTTGACGGTTCATCATGAATAAGATTTCTCGAAATGAAAATTTATTTTACTAGACATATTTTTAACATTAGTAATCAGATTGCTGAATATTTTTCGAAAAAAAAAAAGTATTAATCTATCAATTCACTTTTGAAATACAAATGATAAATTATGATGTTTATATTAAACTTAATGGAAATTGTTGATTGAATTAGAGATGAACTTCAACAATCTTTAGAAAATGAGAAGAAAACAAGATTAATTTTTCAGTTGATATTTCGATTTGAGATACGTCTAATAGATATGAGAGGACGGTCCAAGTTTCGACTCGAATTCCAATAAAAAAAAATCTGCTTTCGTACATGTCTAGGTGAACCTTCAAGAAGAAGAATTTTAGTGATTTAGTCTAGAGAAAACAACGTACTTTTATACTCGAACCTTTCTTTTAAGTATTTTAAGCTACTTTGAACCATTTTGAGATACTTTAAGATATTTTAAGGTACTTCAAAGCTTTTTAATATAAACTGCAAACATTCATTTTAAACCCAATGACTAGATCATTTGGTTTCTGCTAACAATACATATTATATTAAAATCCTAGAAAGAAACAACGCACTTTAAAGCCGAAAAATACATCTAAGTATTTGAGAATCCGCGAAAAGACCAATCTAGTAGAAATGTGTACCACGTCTAAAAAACGAGGCACGTGTCGTCGTTCCGAACTAAGTGAAAGATCTTTTTGCTGATTTTTTCACCGATTTATTGCATCAATATTTCTGAATAAATAGTGCCGAATTTTATTAACGCTTACATATGAACAGCAACATAGCTTTAATAGAACTATAGAAGTATATTTATTGGACAAAATTCAACTTCATAAACACATATAGATATGGCAACGGTTTCGTGTTAATTATTTCTACACTTCAATTTAGTCAAATTCAAGTTTAAGATGAATTTAAATTTTAAGCTCATTTCAATGTGCTTCAATAAATTTTTAGATAAATTTATTTGATATCTGATTAATTTTCAATTGGCATGAATTAAAATATAATTAATTTATATATTTATGTAATTAATGAGTATCGAAATAAACTACTAGTAGTAAAACTAATGATATCTCATAAAGTATGAGCTTGTTAGCGAATTCATTAATTTTTTTTCATATTTCAGTGCCTAAGTTTTGTTTTTCAAAGATTACGGGTAAAGTTCTTTACAACATATTTAATTTCGACAAGAAACATAAAAGGAACAGCGAATTATCAACTACTAGTTTACTTGAAAATATTGATTCTCGTATATTATAACAGGTGGTTCAGATAAATGTGGGTACTTTTGTTTTCTGTCTTTAAAGTATTCTAAAACAAGGTGAAAATTTGCCTTTGAGCTTATTTGATATAGAATTTATTTCTCTACAAAGTCATATATGTCAAACTTGAAACTTGAATTCAAGTATTCAATTATTGAAACTTGAATACTTGAATAGTTGAACTTCAAGTATTCAATAATTGAACAGTTGAATAGTTGAATACTTGAAACAACTTTTCAACAATTGAATTCAGGTTTCAAGTTTGACACTACTGACTCTTAGAGGTTTGAATGAATACTTCACACTGGTAAGTAATTTTCTTTTATTCTTAAATCGATAAAACTTATTGTTTGTTCAATAAATAAGTTCCAGTAAGTCTGTCAATTAAATTAATAAGAAAAAACAAAGAGAAAGAACTCTTTTTCTTCCTCTTTATGGCTTTATCTCGTACTTTTTTATTTGTGATAAAAACTCAAATAAACAACACACAGTTGAAATAAGCATTTTTTTGTATTGAAACTATATTCGTTAGTGTTAATCTGTCGATGATGATATTGCTTATAAAATTATTACATGGAAAATATCTTTTCATTTTTTATTTTCTAATTAAAATTATTTTTAACAAAAATTTAACGATCGTCCATATATAATAACAATATCAATTTATGCAAGGACATGACATCGAATAGATTATCGCTTTTAAAAATAGAATTATTTTTAATGGAAACATCCGAAAATTTGTAAATATCGCTGATTGATAATATGAAAAAAGTTACCCAACTGACTAAAAGTATTCTCACTTCCTTAGATCATAGTTCCTTTCAGAGATAAACGTCTACAAGTTCTTCTCCAGATAGTCCACATATAAGAAAGATCAACAGTAACATCAACAGCAAAATTGCCCAAGCTAGAACAGAGTTGTGATAGGTGACATCCACAGTCATTGTGAGTCTCGTAAATCAAAAACATATAAGCTTTTTAATTTGTCCAATTCCTCGTTTTGTACCTCTGCATTATAAATATTTCTGGTATAAATTTTATCGAAGTACGGCAAGCTATTGACGAACTAGGCTGTTTTTACTGACAATATGGATAAGCCAAAAGAAACGATAGAATGTCATTGATCGATCAATAAATCAACAAGTGTTTAATGAATTCATAGAAATTTTTTATAAAACGTTTCGTAATAACTGATCATCGTTTCCTGAAAGTTGTAGAAGCAAATCTTTTACTAAACGCAAATGGTGTATCGATGATCATTATGAGCATGTCAGACCTCAGAAGTCTCGATTAGTCAAGTAATTGAACTTATGCTTTGAACAGTGAAGGATTACATATTTATCAAGTTCCTATGAAACAGTAAAATCTATCTGTCTTCATCAAAGTACGCAATATGGAAACTAAAATTACTGAACATTACATTTAAACTGCTCCAAATAATTTAAAGTGTAACAATCTCTAGTAGTTGTCTTCTAAAATCTTAAAAACATAATCTTTTCATAGTATTATATAAACAAAAACCTTATACACCATACTTTGCTTGAAAATTGTCACAGAGAACTCTATAGATGTTTACAATAAGATTATTTCTGCTTTTGTATCAAACCGTAAAACTGTTCAAAATGATCTTTTCAGACAAATATTGATATACGAACATAACTGCTCCCTTTAACAGAATAATCGTAAAAAATAGACTTATTGAATTATGCACTGTTTTTAAGGTACTATATAAGAAATTAGTGATCTTTTACCATGAAATTATAGTCCAACTCATTGATGATCCTTCATTACTCAAAAGATGATCTTATTTGCTTGATTAATAAAAACTTCTGAGTCCTGACAAGTTCGTAATGATTATCAATATGCCATTTTTGTTTATTAAAGTGTTTACTTCTAAAAATTTCAGAAAACAATGATCAACCACTAAGAAATATTTTCTAAAAATTTCATACGGATTGATTAAATATTCGTTGATTTATTGACTGTTCAATGACATTCTACGGTTTTTGTTGTCATATCCATGCTTTCAGTAAAACATAGTCTAGCTTAATAATAGCTTGCTAAATTTCATAAGATTTATACTAGCAATAGCTATAATGCAAGGCTACATAATGAGAAATTGGACAACTTAAAAAAGCTTATCTGTTCTCAAGTTACGAAATTCACAATGATTCTACAGACTACCTATTATAATTCTGTTCTAGCGTGAGCAATGTTGGTACTGATGTTACTGCTGATCTAAATTATCTGTGGACTATCTGAAGAAAAACTTCTAAATGTTTATCTCTAATAGAGACTAAGATGCTAAAGGAAAATATTTTTTGCTAATACTGTATAATAATTATTTGATTAATAAACAATTTGATATTTGAACAGAAGTTTTTTCTTTTTCTATATATATCTTAACAAAAATAAAAAGAATGTCTTTAGACTTTTGATAAACTGAATGAAATATATTTATTTGATATATAACAATTTAAGTTTTTCAGTTTTCTTTGTTAAAAATGTAAATGATTTATCAACATGTTATCTAATTCACAAAATAAAGAGTAGAAAAAGTGACATAAGTCCATTTTTTTGCTTCATTGTTAAATTTGATGAATAAAACGTTGGGTTTGACGCATTAGGATTCCTTTTGATTTCTTTATATATTTTTTTCAGTTATTCATTTTTGAAGACTTAACTGAATATTATTATTGCTAATGGTAACTATCTAATATAAACATATGATACGAAATATTTGATATTTCATTACTTGATACTACTTAAATCAACATAAACAGAGACAAATTTAAAAAAGAATAGATAAAACATTCCGACAGTTAGACAAAATTTAATCTTTACTTGTTTTATCTTTACGGTCGTTTTTTTTCTTTGTATACAAAACTTTCTTGTTCTTTTTTAGAATCTCGAATTCGACGAATAAGAAAACAATGTTCTTTCTTTGATAATTACTATAAAAGAAAGTACCTGTTCTTCTTTAACATATTAGAACTATTTCAATAATAATAAGAGGTTTAACCTTTTTCTTGTTTGTCGAAAAAACTCCGTCACTGTTAAAAATAGATTCACATCAATACGCCAAGATGCAAACAATTGTTGAAAATGTTGAAGCTTCATCAATAGGAAATAAAGTTGGTCTTAATGAGTTTGCTCATCCTCTTAATGATAATAATAATAACAATGAAATATGCACCTCAAAAAATACAAATTCTTCAGCAAGTCTATCATCAGGTACAAGTTAATATTTTTCGTTTTTCAATAAGAATTTTTATTTGAACTAGCAACACCAAAAACATCAACTTCTGTGAATAATAATACATCAGAAAAATCGTGGAGAAATTTTTTTGGTATACAACAATCTAGACAGTATATCTTTCCTACCTTTTTTTTTTGTTTTTATATCTAAAAACAAATTATTTGCTTTAGACTACTACGATCAAATAGTCTAACATCACCAATTGTTTCAAACAATACATCAAGTTGTCATTCAGAAACTGGTGTTACTCATATTACATCAAGATTAATTGGTATTAATTCACTCATTTATTATTATAGACAGTTTAATTCATCAGAATGATATTCTCTAATTAATTCAATTGAGATTTATTCTTAGTAAACAATAATACAAAGCTTTGATATATATATAAATAGATGTTATTTCAAAGTATAAGTTAATAGTTCTAAAATAATATAATATACTTCTATGCGATTGAGAAATTTAGTAAAGAAAGAAAAGAGATTAAAAACAAAAATGAAGATGAATTCCTTTTTTGAAAATAATTTATTTAAGAAATTGATTACCTACACTTTTTTTCAAATTATTTAATGAAATTTGTTTCAGCATTATAAATATCTTCTGATAAAGCTCATTCAATATTGGGAGAAATATTCTAAAGAAAAGTAGATAACAAGAAAAAACTTAATTCCATAGTTGAAATTCGTCTTTACTTTTAATAACTGGTAATATGTCTATCTTAAAAATGAGAAAGAATGTTCTCTTCATCTAATTTCTAATAGACTTGATACGAATTCAAAATCTTGAACAGTTAACCATAATAAAGAAAATAGTGACAAAAAAAAACAAGAAAAATTAATTATATAAAATATAAGCAACATTATACAATTAGAATTAATAGAAATGTTCAATGAGTCTTTATAATAGAAATTAGAAAACAATGGAATTAGATTGATGACCAAACTGGTTGATACTAATTTCATACATGGTTAATTCGACTATCTAAAGAATAAAACAATCATATATTCAAGTTCGCTTTCTCTATTCTCTTTCATTTGATTCAATACCGACTGTCTTGATATATAATTATCTTAAATGATTGTATGATTTTTTTTTTTTTTTTTTATTTGCAAGAAACTGACGACTTTATTAAGTCCTGACAGTACATAAGTGAAAGTTATAAGCTAGAAAAAGGAGAATGAAGAAGGTGGAAAAAAAAACAGGTGGGATCCTATATATATACGTATGTTATGACAGGATTTTCACAAAAAGAAATAAAGAAATAAAGAAACAACAACCACGTGAAGCGAGTTTAAACGAGTACACCACAAACAAAAAGAAAAAAAAAAAAAAAAAAAAAAAAAAAGGAAAAGGGCTTTTTACTTTTTTTTTTTATAGCGAGTAATAGCACATAAAAGAGTATAGGAAATGTCAAAAAGTCTCAGGAAAGTCTTTTAGGGCCATTATATCTTCTATGTCATAATTTAAAATCGATTCATTTGAGGGTATACTACCGCACCAGGAAGTGCAAGACTCTAACACTGAAGTATGCTCTACATACCGTTTTGATCTGGTTATACCCTTAATCTTATTATCACCTTGCAGCCAAGCTTTTCTGAACACATTAAAATTGGCCTGCTCGAACATTAATTCTCCGTCTATCGTATCTGATAACGCTAATAAATATTTATTCCAATATCTTAAACATCTATCTTCTAACGATATTTCATTCAATGCGTAAGAAAAAAAGTGATCATGCCATTGCATGCAAAACAACACTCTTTTTAAACACGTATAATAAAAATGGTTTAAATCTTGTTGTTGCTTAACTGTAAAAAGTGGAAAGAGGGGAAACAGCCAAGTAAACAAAGGAAGAACATAAGAGAGAAATAACGCTCTTCTTAAAGCTGGGGACGTAGTACCTGAGAACCGAAAGAACTTTATCATGCTGATACGTTGTCTAATTTTCATCATACTTTTTTTAATCAGGGTACCAAACCCGAGTTTTGGTGTTATCCAATACCCCAGATATTTAAATTTATTCACCCACGGTATTTTATTTCCATCAAATAAAATTTCAAATTTAGGATTGCCTATGGCTCTAGCCGACCAAAGTGCTTCCGTTTTAGCATAATTTATTGATTGAACAGTAAGCACTGAATAGAATTCAAGATGTTCAAAAAATAACTGTACTATGATATAAAATTCGAAACAAACGCAATGACACAGATGTGACTATTGTAATATGAATTTTTTTTTATTAATAAAAAAAACGCTTCAAAAATTTAAAACTAACAACATGTTAACAAGAACAACACAAATACAATCAAGACATGGAATTCTCAATATAAACAATGTTTTCATTATAAATTCACCTAATTGTTGATCGACCTATGTGTTGAATTCCATCATTAAACTAAGAAATTATGATTTGAAACATTGGAGAAAATCTGTAATATAATATTTTCAACAACGAAACATTAAAAATATTGATCTGTATTGTTTTGTTTTTTGATCTTCATGTTTAGAGTTTCTTTTAGACAACGCTTATCTGGTTATTTTCATTCACCTGCATATGTGAGTAATAAAATGCATATCAATGATCAGTTACACATCATAGAAAAAGTCAGTAATTATAAACCAATTTGCACAAATAAATGAAGACAATTCTTTCTTTCTCTCATCTTAAAATGCAAATAAGTTCTGATGAATACAACTGACCATTTATTTTCTCTATGTGAACTATTGACACATATAAGTTCGGGTCAAGTAAACATAAGAGAAAGAGCATCGGCCTTTTTTTTTTCATTTGCAGACATGTCTTTTTTTTATTACTGTAGACTATCGACAAAGAGAAAGTGATGATGAAATCTGATCTTAGCGAACAGATTTCAATTAAGAACACTCTTCGTCCGTTGTCTATTTGCATAATCGGAATCATCATCGGTCGGAATATAGATTGCAAATACAAGAAAGAGAGAGAGAGAGAGAAAAAAAAAAAGAAGACATCACTATTCCTTATAAACGAAACAAACTGAATCATCATCGATCAAAAAACTAAAAAGAACATCAATTGATAAAAAATATCTAGTCGATTGAAGTTTGTATTTACAAATAAAATTTATTAAAGAAATTTTTATGAACATGATTTTTATCTATGTTATCATTGTTATTATTTCATTTGATGGTATTATAACTACACCTATATTAAAAAATGCTTCAACAAATCGTATTATAATTATTGCTTCATGTCAAGCAAATAAAAATGGATTTGAATCAAGTAAGAAAATGTTCTATTCTTATTCGAATAAGATAATTATCAAATTACTTATTTTTTTCGTATATATACGTCTAATTTTATTATAATATTACTATTCCTTTCTTTTTTGTATATATATATATATGATTATATATTTCTATTCAATCTAATCAATAAGTTCGATTTTGATTAAAAGCATAGCCATGAAATAACTTTATTATATATAAAACTATTGACTTACAAAGGAACAGCTTGAAGTAATTCAAAGTCTTTATCATTAACATTATCCTGTAAGTAGGAGACATGTAGGTCAGAAAAATGTTAAGAGGATATGAGTGCATGTTGTGATTTAACCGAAGTACAAGGAGTAACTTTTATACAGAAATTTTAGATTTTATTGTTTTTTCGATGTAACGTCATAAAGAATTCAATTTTTTGAAAATATAAGCGTTTATCATAAGATATTATATGTAATATAAATATTTTGCAAAAATTTTAATTTTAATCATGCGACATAGCAAAAAGTCTCAATCTTTTTCCACAAGCTATTTAAGTTAAAGCATTGATGCGAGCAATGTTTTAGATTAAAATTCAAAAATATTATTTTTTTCAAAAAAAAAAGGAGAAGCTTGTCGATAAATTTCAGTGAAATATCTATATCTCAACTAAATCGTAAAGCATTTTCATATATAGGTTTTCTATTCTTGAGAAAAATATATAGCTAAAAGTTTCAAATCACTTCCGTTGTTTTTTTTTTTGTTAGTTTAAGTTTGTTTTTCTGTTTGTGTTCTATTCTCGATCATTTATTCACGGAAAGCTGGACAACAACATAGACTGTGTATGTATGAATGCGTTTTTTTTCTCTTTTTTAACTCGCTGAATGATGCGATGACATTCTATTTTTCTTCCAATAAAGCTTGCCTGTGGTGTTTTTTTTTCATATGCGTGTCTTCCTTTTTTTTCTTGTTCGCATCACAAAAAAATTATTATAATTCTTCTGCATCAGTATCTTTTTGTTCTTATCATCATAGTGAATTACTAAAGAATCGTCATTCGTTGGCATGCACAAATAAAAAAAGATGAATGTTTTCCTCTTATAGTGTCTCTTTGTCGTTCTATCCAATTGACATCATCATTCTTATGCTCTATTTCTGTCAGTTCACATTTTCTATGACGATAACGAGCAGTATTCATTTGATTCTCATACATTTTTGTATTATATATATTTTTTTCTTTCAAGAAGCAATAAAAAGACAATTCTAATTTTTTTTTTGTTTTTTTTTTAGTTTTAATACAAAGTACACGTCATTATTATTTTTACTTTTCCAGTCAGCCGTCATCATCGACCTTGTATTCTTCCTCTTCTTTTTTACCATTATTAGATCTATCTTATTGTGAACATCAACAAACTGCTTATTACCCATCAAGCGGTTTTTCTATTCTTCATTCTTCACCACGATTTTCTTCTACTAAAATCCTAGACAAGAAACATTCTTTGCCCTTTCATCATCAGAATGCCGTTCTTTCCGCTATTGATCAATTATCACCTACTAGCAGTAATATTATCCCATTAATGTCATCATCATCAAATAAAAGTCTTATCCATATCGATCATGATGATAATATGATATCGACAACAATTAATTCTTTAACAACAAGTCCATTTACTAATATGAGTTTTTTACAGACATCATTACCAACAACACAACAAGAAAATCAAACATTGAATATTGTGGTACTTATTGGATGTATAATTGCTGGAATTATTATTATGATTATTATTTATATAATATTTAAATATTGTTGTAATCATGATAAAGGTTCATATAAAATTGATGAAAGTAAAAATTTTACTACAAAATCTCATTTGGATAATACTGATACTAGTGGTTGTACTGGTAAAATATTATTATCGAATCATCATCGACAAAACTTCTTAACAACAAATGAAGAAAATATTATTGATTCAAAAGAATGGTATGTGTAACTAGAAAAAACTAGATATTATTTAATGTTCTTCTTTCTCTTTTTTTTTTTTTGTAAATAAAAAAAAATCATGAAAGCAAAAAGATTACACAAAAGATAAATGTAAGAATCGACAGGTGATTTATCTGAGGAGAAAGAAGAAGAAAAATATAGAAAAAGAAAAACATCAAATCAAGCATTTAGTTTCTCTTTAATTGATTTAATATATGGTTCAGGGATTGCAAATGTAGTAGCAGCAGCAAATGGTACATAAACTTTTCTGAAATATAATTAAAAAATGTAATTTCATAGGGTTGAAAAATCAATTTTTACCTATTATTTTCTTGAGAATCAATAAAATGAACAGTTAATGTTTTTTGATCTTCAGAACTAGTGACAACCTGTGCTAGTTTATAAATACATTGATCATTATCCAAAACTAAAATAAAATCATCTGGTTGATGTTGAACGGGTCTAGTAAATGCTCCAAATAAATATTCTTCTTCTTGTTCACTTTTTTTTCCATTACACCATCGAATACGATATGTATGACCATATTTAATACGTTCAATAATTGTACCTAACATAAATATTTTTCTTTTATGATTTAAACCAACAATAACTTTATTAACAAGAGTTTGCTCGTACTCAATGCGAAATGTTGCATAATCTTTAAAATTTTCTTTACTAATTGGTATTACAAGTTCATTATTTGATCTATCTTTTTTATCCATACCATCATAAAAACGAACATGTGTTTTCATTTTTTCATTATCAGAATAAAGTATTACAGCAGGTTTCCAACAATCGTGAACATATTCTTGATCTTCAATAAGAACGAATGATTGAGGCTATATTTAGAAAAGAAAAATACACATGTCTATGTTTTTTCTTACATACATATTTCGTCAACTTACATCTAAAGATTTTAAACGTTTACGATCTGATTCTAAAAATATATTTTCACGTGAAATAATGCTTTGAACACCAGGTAAACCAACTCGTCGGACACTATAATTATTTGAATGTCGTTGTTTTTTTAATACAATACCCTAGAAAAAAAAATTAGATTATTAGATGTCTTGCAATTTCTCAAGCACACTAATCTCTTTGAAGCATTATTGATCCTAGTAGTCTATATTGAAATATTTAATTATAAGGAAATTGTTATCTTCTTATATAACAAATGTAGGTCTCGCACTATTTTATTTAAAAATCCATTAAAATTATAACAAACCTCATGAACAAATTTATCATCATCAAGCCATAGAGCATAGACATGTGTATTTGGTTGAATAAAATCTTCTCGTGGTGTTGGTGGCTTAGGACCCTGTGTCTGCTTTGTCAAATCAAGTTTATTTGCTATCGGTTTTAATGATATTTCAGCTGTTTGAGTCGATCCAAATGTAACTTCTCTTCTCGGTGATCTTTCTTGTAAATGTCTAATTGCATTCATTTGATCTTCGAGTACCTAGATGATAATAAAATAATTCATATTTATTTTTTAAATTTATTTTTTACTGTTTTAAGTTCATCATAACGTTTCTTATCTAATCTATTAAGATGTTCAACTTTAGTTGTCAATGGCTCAAGTTCTCTACGAAGAGTATCTAGATATTAAATGAATTAGAAAAGAGAAATTGATTGAATTACAAAAAAAATACCTTGTATAGAAGGATTATCTTGTAATTCGTTAGTCTTGTCAACGATTGGTCCACGTTTACGACTAAATATTTTTATTTATTTGCAGTAAAACAATGAAATAACTTACTTGAGACTTTGAAGATATGAAAGAGTTCGTTGAAAAACACCTAAACTTATTTTAAGTATATCACGACGATGTACATGAACCTAAATGAATATTTTAATATGTATTTTTTCTATTAATTAATATACATACGTGACATGCAGATGGAGTATATATTTGTACCATATATAAAGGAGGTGGTTGAGCAACTGGTGATGGAAGCACCATTACAATACCAGGTGCCCAAAATTCTTCATTTTCATTCTTTCGGCGGACAAGAACCCAATCATTTACAAATAAATGTGGTTGAGCAATTGCACCATTTGTTGGCAGAAGAATATGTCCAATTGCTTCTTGTTCTATACCCATGTCAAAATGAACCATTGTTTGACCATCTAAACTTTTTTGTATAGTTCCTATTTTAACAATTTGAAAAATTTTCTAATAGATAATTGAAAAAAAGATTTATTTTTATACCAGGATGAAAGAATCCATCAGCATCAAAACGACAAATGACACGTTGATGAAAATTTCGATCTGCTGATGGTTTTCTCTTAATTTTTGGTTTTTGTTCTTCTTTTGGTTTCGAATCCAACTATTTGATATTTATGATTTAATTTGATTTAATTTATAGAAAATAGAAAAAAAAACTTACATCAGCTCGTCTTTGTAATTGACGTAAATCAGTTGATATTTGTAAGAATTTAGTAGCACGATGAATTTCGACATCCATACGAGCGACACCTTTTAATGCTGATTCAGCTTCAGCGTCTTTTAATGTATTTTTCAATAAAGTTTGATTTTTATCTTCATAAGGTACAGGTTTTTGTAATAGACTATTTTCATGAGAAAATATTTATATAGTAAAAAATGATGAAAAAAAAATAGCGTATTTACTCATTCTGTTCTCTGTCGGTCAACTTTCGCCAAGTAAAGTTTTCCAATGCACTAAAATTAGATAAAAATATATATATATATATATTCAATTTAAGAAGATCCATCTGAGTTTAGTACACTACCTTTGACTGGTATGTTCTTCTGTACTTATTTCTTTGGTGATCCTAAAACAAAATGCTTTTGCGGAAAAGAAATAATGGTTGATCAATAATTTACTTATTTTGTTCGTCTTTTGATAAACTATGCCAATGAAGATATGGACCAAGTCTAGAAAGAAATCGATATTTATCATCATTTTTAAATGAAACTAAAAATGAGTAATCATTATGGTGAATATATTGATAATATTAAATAGTGTTAAATTATATATTAATATAGCGGTCTCGAGAATAGCTTGACAAAAATTTCTGAAACTTTCAACGTCGATAAATTTTGATCAGAAGAATGTAGGTTATCATGGAGTCACAATTTCCTATTGCTTCTACCCATAGATCTTGAGTGCACGAGAACGACAAGAACTCAAGATTTGCCCCTGCTTAAATCAATATTACATTTTCTTTTGAGCCGAAGTCTTTTGCTGTAGCAACTAGAATAAATTCTGTGTTTGTTTTCCTCGAAAAATATTGTTTCCAAGACGTAAAAAAGTCAACGTATCGGGAGCACCATAATACCGCTAGAAAACGCCTTTTTTCCACTGGTGTTAATTTTGTAGCAAGTTTGCTAAACTTAAGTTTGAGCTCAACCGGTCGTCGAGTACAGGACAAAAAGAGGACGTTTGTTTCATGATAAAAACTGAAAATGTTCAATTGAGAAATAGGGTGAGACACTTTTAAGTTGCGTGTGAATCTTATGCTTGAATTGGAGAAAGATGAATTGACTGTTTTTTTTCTTAAGTAATTCACGAACAAATAAAAATGATCAATCCAATTGAAAAAAAAACTTGTCGGAACAGCCTATTTGGAACTAAAATTTTATACTCATATGTATTCTTTAGTTTTATTATACCAATACAAAATACACAAAGTGAAAAATCTTTCGTAGACTGTAGTTGGTTTCCAACGATAATCGATCGTTAGAGAAACAATCTGTTGCATTTTTTTAGCATTTCGAACAGAGATTTTTTGTCTATCTTGTTGCTTTTCATTTTCATATTCCGTTTTATTTAAAATTAACATTATTATTATTTTAACCATTTTGTACATATCCATAATATCGACAGCAACTCTATTATTTATTTCGATAAGCTCAACAACACTAATATTGATTATTTCATAAAGTAATAAATTGATTAGTTCAAGCTTTCTATGTTGATCATATGACGACTATGGCAAATCAATGCATCACTACCTATCATCATTGATATGTTCAATATAAATTTTTATTTGCGCACAAATCACAAAATGCACTATTTAGAATATTCACAAACATGTTTCAGTCATTTAAAATTTCAAGAAAGGCTTTGCAATATTTTAGAACAGTCTAAGTCTTTTTTTTAATGTCGTTTAGTATCTTGTGCTGTTACTATGGAAACGTAACTAATGATTGTTGGTCTACCTTGCTCTGTGGTTGCTAGAACGTAGGGAAGGAAGAAAGAGCCAAAATTCTTGATTTAAACTTAGAGAGATCCATAGAATAGATCTTAAAAGAGCTATATTCGAGTCTAAAAGCTCTATTCTAATAAATATTAAAGAACATTGTGAATGTCAATTTATGCAGACATCGTTTTCAGACTATTCTTATATATTAGTACTGAATAGATTACTTACTTTCGTTTATCATCCTCATATAAATGTTTCCAAATAAAATTTGAAGTAAATCTATGCATAAACAAATTATTTATGTAGTCCGATTGTCTATTTAAATAACTTACTGATAATAATTAGTAATAAGTTCCTTCAATTGAACTTCATATTTTTCTAAATCGACAGCATAATGATTCACTAGACGTAATTTACCAACGTATGATCCATATGTTAATGGTAATATCTAATATGAAAAAAAAAATTTATGAAATAAAATTTGATTTACTTATATATAACTTACATCATCCCAAACTTTAGCAAGAACATAACGATCTATAACTTGAATATGATGTGGATCTTTTACTGTTATTGATGTTGGATAAAGTACATCGAAGATTGTTAAACCTTTTACAACTAAACTATTTCTTTTCAAATATGATATAACTTCATTATAAGGAGTTCTATTGAAGAGAAAAACAACATAAATAAATAATTCAAAAGAAAAATAAATGAAATATAAAATTTACCGGATTGGTTTTATTTTAGTTGGCACAACTGAAAAAAAGAAAATAGTAAAATTCTCATTTGATTATTAAATTTTGAATTAGATTTACTTTCTACTTCATGGTGATCTTCTGTATCAGATATTGCTTTTTCTTTATTATCATTTATTTTTAAATATTCTTTTGTTTCTGGTAAAAGCCATTGATCAGAATTTAAATTAATAACATGACCATGTTCTACCAGATTACTTGCTAAATAATAAATTCTATTGAAATAAAGTATTTTATTTAATTTTTTATTTGTATACCTGATTTAGGTCGTCGTTGACGACTTCGATTTGTTGTTGAACGTTTTTTCTTCGTTGTTCGAAGTGACATTGTAGCTATTAAAAAATATTCATTTTCTTCAATACATAAGTTTGTTCGTTTGTAAAAGAAAAAAAAAGAATATTTCTAACTGTATTGTTCTTCTCAAACTAATTTTAACGATAAGAAATAAAACGTTTCGAACAGAACAAGAAAAATCGATTTTTTTTCTTTCTGCATTATAAAAGAAGACGTTTCTCTTTGAGAGTACGTCAAAGAAACGCATCAACCTGTCAGAGAGAAAAAAAACTCAAGTGGTAGTTTAAAATTAAGTCGAGTAACAGGGAACTTCTAAGTAGATGAGTTTTTCGTTGCAGTTAATATGACAAATACTGCTAGAAGTTGAATTTTTTTCATCCAGATTACCAGTAAATATGAAAAATCGCACGAGTTCGATATCATTACACATATATATATTTATCTAGTCTCATTTGTACAGTAAGGGTTAATGCAATTAAAAGACAAACTCTCTAAGTGACAGTTAATGTTAGTTTAATGTTCTACAATCGATTTTGTGCGTGATATTTATTCTAACATGAGTAAAAATTCAACAAATATTACCTGAGCAACAAAAATAGGGTGAATGAAATACATTAGCATTCAATCTACACGAAACATATAGATAACGAATACTTTATTTCTATGTTTTCACTGCTCATATTTCTAGAGTATACAATCAAATTAACAATATAGACAAAATCAGCGAAACGGGGCATGCTCATCGTTATTCTTTGTAAACTCCCCCCTCCCCTCCCACATAATAGAAGCCCCTCCCCTATTAGAACCCTCCTCTGAAAAAGTTGATCTGCAAGACGTATTAGAAGCCCCTTTCATTTTCAAAAAATTCTTAAAAGTTTTTGAAAAGTTTTATGAGTTTTTCATAGTACAATTTAACAAATTGCAAGATTTTACGGCAAAAATGTATTAAACTCTTATTTATCGGTATCAAAATCTCGAAATATCTTCGGAAATCTTTCAAACAACTCATAAAAACCCTGAAAACACCTTAGCATTTTTAAAAAGTTTTTCTACTTAGAATCTTTGAAAAATCATGAGACCTACCCAGGTGGAAGAAAACGGTCCGTAGATGGTCGCCGTTTTCTAGCAAAAATAACGGCCGGTAAAACGAGCTGACGGATTACGGCGAAATAGAGTGAAAATTAATGCCGTTTTATGCCGTTTCCGATGACCTTTCAGACGACCGGAATGATCCTTCTAGGTAATAGAAGCCCCCTCCAAAAACTTTGAACGCTAGCCAGTTTTGAAGCCTATGGGGCTTCTATTACGGGAGGGGATTTAAGGGATTTTTTTGAAGAAGTTTTTTGTCATGAATATAAGGGAATATTCGCTCTTTTGGCTCACATCTAATTGAAGTTAATTAGCTAATCAGTTAATTAATTAAAGCTCAACTAATTAATTAACCAAAATGTAATTAGTCAATATATTGTTTAAATTTTGATCAATTAGTTAAAGTTTAATTAAATATTTAGTTATTTCGTTAAGAATCAACTAGCTAAATATTTAATAAATCAAGCCTTAATTAATTGTCTTGCTAGTTAATTAAAACTTAGTTGGTTAATTGATTGATTAATTAAAACTTAATTATCTAATTAGTTAAAAATTTAATTATCAAATAAGTCTCTCTTACCTTATATCGAACAAGTTCAAGTATTTTAGAATATATTCCACGCCACAAACTATATCTATCTATTAATGACAAAGTGTTCGCAAATCGGATTTTTCGATGAATACTTCCATGGATAGTCAGCTGCAAAACCAACACAGAGTTCTCAGAAGATTTTTTCGTCTGTAGAACTTTGTAGAGCTTATTGTGTTGACCATTTTGATAAAAAAAACTATCCTAATCTACTCAACAGGTGATAATGCTACAGTTAAAATATTCGACGATGTCAATTATGCTTAGCAATATTCAGAAATAGCCGAAGTTTTTAAATATCTTGACCGTAGTACCATGATTTATTGAGTAAATTTGAATATTGTTTTTACCGAAATGATTGGAACAACGAACTCTACAAGATCCTATAGACAAAAAAATCTTCTGAGATACTTGTTTTTTGTGGTTGACTACCCATGGAAATATCCATCGAAAATACGACTCTCAAGCAATTTGTCGTTGGTAGCTTGATGAAATTTTCAGCAAAATCAAACTCCAAGATATTGTCTCCCACAACTGGTTCTCTTAAGGTTTATTAGTTGCCTAAAGTGAGATTTTTTATATTACTAGTATTTCGAAATCTCGAATAGGATTTTGTACCATTTAGAAATGATTTTTGAATTTCTCATTCGATTATACGAGGAGTTTTCATTTCTATAATCGTACTCATTTGCATCGCTAACAACGAATAAATTCAACTTTTAGGAAAAACAATTGCCTGGAGACGTTTTTAGTCTGAACAATTTTTAAAAAAACGTACTATTTAGCTTTTAAAAATACTGCATGAACTTGTAATATTTGTCAATGAAAATCTTTATTCTTTTTCTATGTCACTTTGTTAATGTTAGTTTTCCAATAATAAATCTCAACGGCACAAAAGTTTTAACAGAATGGTGATATATGCATTTTTATTTTGCGAAATTGAGTCGTTAACGAATGAAATTGGTCATATATCAATAAATTTCTTTCTTTCACAAATGGAAAATGATTAGCAAAATTTTTCGGCAATTAGAACATTTCGTTTGTCTTAAAGAAAATCGCAAGGCATCCATTTGGAAATGACTTTCTTTATAGAAAAAGTTCAACCTTGATCATACGCTAAAATTGAATAGAACTAACACTGACTGTCATCAGATATCAATCAATAAATATGTTAAATAAATATTGAAAAAAATATCACTAGCAGTAAGTCTCTTTTAGATGAAAACAAATGTCTAATCTGCATTCATTGAACAATTTTTTGTATAATATTTGTAAATAAATTGCATTTATAACCTATGGCGCGAAAGTCTTGGCGCAAGATATTTGCTCATTTTTGTCGATCACTAAAAGACAATCGATTAGAGTCAGAATCAAAGTTTTTCGCTCTTTTCGAATATATACTAAGATTTTTCTGCTGGGGTTAGAAAAAATAAATATCTGTAAATTTTGTGAAAAAGTCTAAAACTGTTTTTCTACAAAGCAAAATAATGATTTTGGGGAAGTCCTTAGTCTTGGGACAGCTTCAATTCAATATTACCGTCAAGCAGTGACTTCTGTACAAAAATGAGGTCTTAAAATGAGCGAAATCTCATCTATACATTTCCACTAAGGAACTAGTATTTATGGAAATTAGTGTTTGCTGTTGCAAAAACTGTTTTTAAAAGTGCAAAAAGTTTTAGAATCTGTCATGCAGAAATAAATAGCGTTTTGTAGGGCAAACTTTGCTGCAGAGTTGTTCATATTTTTTAGAAGTGAGAGCGATTAAAAACACTTTGGTAGAAAGTAATTTCACTCTCAAACTGATAGAAGTGATCATCAGGAGGAAACCACGAAACCCACCGTGACTCGATTCCACCTATAAGTTACAACCTGTCATTGAGCCGTTCATCTCCTAATCATATTCACCTCGTAACGACATTGTTTTCTTATGTTTATTTCATTTTCAACCAAAGAAAGGCAAATAGTGTTTCAAAATTTGATTTCTGTTCAAATTTACCACGAAGCTGCAAAAAAATTCAACATTGTGAAGAGAGCAGCTCTTCCTTAATCGAGTGCCCTGCTTTTTCTATATAAAAATGAGCCATTAAAAACTATTTTGCATTTTAAATTTGATAGATTTCAACCAAAGTACAAAATTTACCAAAATTGTAATTTGTACAACAACTGATTTGTACCTTTTGAAAAAATCTGATGATAATTGTTCAATCTTACTTCAGACAGAAATTCTGAAAATATATTTGAAAAGAAAGGAAAAGTTCTGTTTTTAACTAACTATTTCTGACTCTAACCAATTGTCTTTAGGTAGTCGAAAAGTAAATGACTACTTTCTACTAAGAGTTTTACGCCATAGATTAACTGTTTCTGTAAATTATAAATAGCAATCCTGAATAATCACCGTTAATAATTGACAAATCTTCTATTAAACAATGAATTTCGCTTACCACTTTTTGGTCGAAATATAGGATCAAGTGTACTTTGACTTTTAACTGGAAGTGACACAGATTTATCATTATTATTAATTTGTTGACTTTTAGATTTTGATATTTTTGGTTGTATACTTTCACGTGCCCATGCTCGACCCAAACATTCATCACGAAGACCAGCTATACGTTCTAATTCTTTTTCACCACGTACTAATTCATTTTTAAGACTACCAACATCTTCACTCTACGATTCAAAAAAGAAAATAAGAATTCGTTTTTTTTTTGGAAATATTTTTGTTTTTCAATAGAAAAACCTCAGGTATTTCAATTGAAGATTGCTTTTCAAATCCATAATTAAATGTATGGAAACGTCCACCTGTTTGTTTAGCTAAATCAAAAAGAAATTGATTTGCTGTTTGATCATTACAATTAAAAGCTATTGTATGTATTGGAACTGTTTGACGATATTGAACTTGTGAAAGAATATGTCGTTCTTTCTATAAATTCATATTTAAATAAGATTTATTTTCTTTAATAAAAATCTTACTTGATCAGGTCGGCCATCAGTTAAAAGATAAATAGCTTCAGTAGCTGGATCAGCAAGTGCAAAACGAAGTGCACCTAATGTATTTGTTGATCCTTCAGCATTAAGTCCATCAATCCATGGTTGAAGTTGAGAATATGTTGTTGAGTCATTAATTTTTGTTAAACGATCACGCCATGGATTAATTACAGAATTAAATGCAACTACATTAATACGTTCTTTAGCAAATAATTGATCCTAGAAATGAGTTTGTTTTTTGTTTTACTTTGGATAATCATTATTGATTGAAAATATGAAAACATACTTGTATAAGTAAACGAAGTTTTTCTTTAACAAAACTTAAATGATGTTGCATACTTTGTGATGTATCAATTAAAACATAGATATTATTTTCCAAAACAGCACCAAATAGATCTCGACTGCCTTTCTTTAACCATGCTAATCTGAGAATTTAAAAAAAAAAATTATTCATAAATCATGATTATGATATCTATGTAATTACCTTGCTTTAATTTTTTCAAGTAAAGCTCGTATTCGTCTTTCATAATCCCTAAAAGAAATAAATTACAAAAAGAAACTCATAAGTTAAATCTATACCGATATAGTTCTGGTGTAACATGAACATGTCGAATGGTCCCATCTGGCCAAGTGACATGAGCAAATTCATCACAATATATTGCATTTACCAATTTATCTTGAGGATTCTGAAAAAGAATTCATTAATGGATCAAAAGTTGCAGCTATGGAGGCGGCGTCCCTCGAAAAATACAATTGACTCGATGGATGATAAAATCAGAATAAAACACTCAAATGAATCAATATATTAAAAAAGGTCATTTTGGTTTTAAGTATAATTTTTTTCTCTATGAATATAGAACGATAGTTGTTCTGTTTATAATGAGGAAAACAATTTTTGTAGTAATGATCGTCATGCATTTGGAAGTGTTTAAAATATTAATTTCACAAAACAAAAGAAATCTTCTTTCTGTAATAAAATTAACATTCGCTGAGATTATATTAAGGGAAAAATAATCGATATGATTTATTTGAACTTACAGCTGGAGTACTCGCAGTTAAATCATCAGCATTCTCTGGTGGTTTTAGTAATTTAACTACTCCATCACAATGTCGAAATGCTGCTGCTTGAAGAACAGAAAAAAAGTCAAGTTTTTGTGCATCTATTCCATAAATTTTTAACCAATCTGCTGATGTTATATCTTTTTCTTCATTATTAAACAAAGCAGATGATTGAACAACAAGGCTACGTTGAAAATTACTATCACCAGATACATTAAAGGCTCCTATTGATTTTGTTGCTAAAAAGAATTCATTTAGTTCATTTGAAAAACGAAAAAAAAAAAATTTTCTTTTACAATCCAATGATTTGATTGGAGTTTGACTTTCATCTTTTATAAATCCAAGAATTTTTTCTATTCGATCAACGACATTTTGACATTCAATTATTTCTTTATACATTATTGTTATATCAAGCGGATATTCAGGTAGAGGTGTTAAAGCATTTGTACCAACTTGTAATTTATCATCTTGTAATTTAATTCGTGTTGGATCATTTAAATTCGATGGAGCTTTTAAATCAGATATTTCATTTTTAATTTTATAACAAAAATAACTATTCAATAAAAACAAAGAACATAATAGAATAAAAGAAAACAATTCTTCATTGTTTAGTACAAACCTTCCATCAGCACTTTGTGCAATTGAACGAAGAAATATTTGTGTATCATTATTATTACAAAATAATGAAACAACATGAAGAGGTATTGGAGAAGTTGATGAAAGACGTGTTTTAACTATATTATCGCGTAACATTTCACGAGCTAAATCAGATGAATCACCTTCACTGATCAAATAAATACTATGAACCTAATCAAAGATTTCAATAAATAAATTAAAATATATATTAGAAAAATATTTACATTATTATTAAATGCTTTGAGAACGGCTTCACATGTTGCGCTTACGGATATTTTATTTCGAGCACATTTTCGATCACATATCCAATCGATCTGCATAAATAATAAAAATCAAATTGGAAATTAATAACTGAATGTTTAATATTGATCTGTTAGAAAAAAGATTTTTTTCGTATATAATTAACACAATAACAACAAATAGAAATGTATTGTAAATATCTATTCTTGAATAAAAATTAGAACGGCAATGTATTGATTTCTATGTGAAATTAATAGAAAGAAAGAGACAAGTCCCAGCTGTATACACAAATCATCCCTGGTAATGGTTCATACGTGACCAGAGGTGACTCTCCAACCTTGAAAAGTTTTCGTTTTTCTTCAGCGGAGGTCCATTGTGTTTTTGCTTACCAATTACCAAAAAAAACACTCACTCTCTCATAATCCTATCAACCTTGGAATACCTCTGCATGTGACAAAAAAACAAAAGAGATCTCAAAATGACAATATTGAATATAATAATCGATTACTATTCCTATACAATAATTAACAATGATTAGTTCATTGAAACAGCAGCAAAATTCAAGAGTAGGTTTTTTTTTTCTTTCTGTTTTTTAATTTAAATTTATTTCAAGAATAGATTAGCTGGAAATAATGAGAAGATTTTGTTTGGAATAATGAACTTTTCAATGCAAAAGAAAACACCAAATGATACAGCTCTTTAGGAAAATTCAGGACCGAGACTCATCCGACAGATTCTACGTCACGAATAGGTGCTAATTACATCTTGATTATTGTCAAAATTACTTGAGAAACGTGTGAAATGTACTAATTTCATTGAGAGTATTGGAAAGTTCATGTCCAAGTCCGAGATTTTTTGAACTCGATTGACTCTAATCATTAGTATTTCAAAAACTATGTAACCAAATGTTAGAGATAATAGAGCCATTTTCATAACAGTTATCAGAATTATATATCACAGTCTATAGAGTACATATAACCTGTTTGCATTAGGTCTTCATGCTTATTATTAATAATCATCTTTCACAAATGAGTCACCATACAAAATCTGAATAGATTTAATATCAAAAATTCAAATAGACAAGATCTTTTTCTTCCGAGAGAAGATCTCCACTGTGTGACTCGTCAATCAAACTAATATTTTGTCCATAAGATTTCGTGGATTTTAGAATGTCCTAAAAAATTCAATTCAAAAGGAGGTGTTGTTCTTGAGATATCGAATGTTGAAAATTCTCGGCTTTCTTATCTTTCCTTTTGACACATTATTGTTTTTTTGGAAATTAAATATCTCAAGAAGAACACATTGGAAATTTTCAACATATTCTAATGCGTATGAGACTAAACTAAGAGCAAAATTTCAGGTTAAAATTCCATAATTTGATTTTTTCACAAATACCTTTCCAGAGATTAAAAAACACTCACTAAAGATATAATAACTTCGGAAGAACAGCGCATTGCGACGAGATATTATAGGCTTCTACTAGTCTTGTCGGGACTTAGTAATGAACAAAATATTAGTTCAATGAGGAACGTTCTCTAGTTAATAAAACAAGAAGATTCTATTGTAACTTTCGAAAGCATCTATTTCATTTTGCCTAATCAATCAAACTTACGGCTTGATCAATATTTGATGCATTAGCATCGACAGGTTGTTCTCGAAATTGTTCATTATCATTTGAAATCCTAAATTATTTTTATAAACATAAATAAATCAATTATTTAATATGATATTGAAAATTTTCTGTACCAAATAATATTAAATTTTTTTATTTTATTAATTTGTTCTTTAAGTAAATTTGTTAAAGACACTTGAAATTGATTAAATATTCGATGATCGAATGTTTTACAGTCACATACAAGACATACAGTTGGTTCACCAATTATTCCAAATAGACGACGTGATCCATTGGTTATAAATAATAAACGTTTTCGTAATAAATTTAACAATCGTATTAAACGATGATGATATTCACGTAATTTTTCTGGTCGGCATGTTAACTAGAAATTCAAACCAATTAAAAAAAAAAGAAGAGAAGAAAAGGGTCATAGGTCAATCATACAACATATCGGTCACCGTTATCTTGTTGTACTTCATGATAAAGATTACCAGCATATTTAGCGGTAATAGTTTTACCGATTACTGGATCAAAGCCTACAATATAACAAAAAGATTTTATTTAAACAGTGGATATTCAGTAGATAGAAGTTTTCACAGGTTGATGAGAATATCTCCTTAGATTTTCCCACTTTTGATTTCAATAGTGTTCTTTGCCTACAGACACTGCACAGTGTTCTAATAAAAACCCAGAGAAGATTTCAGTTCCTATTGAGATTTGAGTCAGCTATCGAATTTTTAATAACGACTAGCTCATCAAGAATGATTCTATCAGTATTTTGCATATGTCTCAGTAGCCTTGCAACATAATAGGACAAATTTTGTTTCAGAGATTTTTCATTCAATTCTCTAAAAATTTGCATCATTCGCTTAAACCAAACAGCATAGCTTATTTTTTAGGACCCATAAAACTAATAGATTCAGAATATTGTCTTAATCGGACAATGAAATAACTCGTAGAGCTTGATAAAAAAAGAAAAAAATTTTGAAAGGGATGTCTTCAGGAATCTATACGTTTCATTGGTTCTAAAGAAGTACAGTGTGCTATTCCGTTCAAGTGAAGCATGCAAATCTATAGAGAATCGAACGAAGAATCTGTTTTTCCAAATTTCGAACTGAAGTTTTGTGCATATAGAAAACTTAACTAGATTATTGTTCATTAAAAAATTCACAAGTTTTGAACACAATTCTTTTTTAGCACTCTATGACTAATGCACTCTAGACATTTCTCAGACGACTAGAGTTCATGAGGTCCAAAATTTTCGGACCCGATCAGGTTCGGGTTCGAAACTAAGCCAACGGGCTCTCATGAAGATAAATGTGAAGGCTTCCTCGCTAATCAAAACTGAAGATCGAAGTTTTTACACTGTATATCAAAGAATTCAACTTAATAGTTTTTATTTTAATTTATTAGTTAAATTGAAAAACTTTTATGTATCATTGCACTTTTATTAAGCTCTTATTTCGAATAGAGACAAATACATGTATATCAATCAGGCTAAAAAACACAACAAACGTCAATGCACATCAAAACAAAAGATTTGTAAATGCGTCCAAAAAAAAAAAGTATCACTTTATAGGTTTCTCTTGCCTTGATGTTGATGAAAAATTGAAATTTTTATTTCTATACTTGACAACGAGACATTCATTATTTAGATCATACTCTTCAATATATCAAGTTCTTACACAATTATTTTCATTCGTTTTCTATAATTAACGTTGCCATGACTTTAATACTTCTCATATGTAAAATAAGTGTCAAACAAAAAAACTAAATCTATATATATTTTCTAAATTTCGATTTCTAAGAAAAATATTTTCATTGCAAAAAAAGAAAACCAACTTTCAACACGTTTGAATCCAATCTGTTGAAGAATCTGATCAAAAGATAATTTTTGTGATTTAAGACCATAACGTTGAATCCATTCTATACTTTTTAACTATACAAAAATCAAAAATAATTATTATTAAAGTACAATTATATAAAATAAATAATTTAACTTACTTGACTATATAAATAAGGTGGATCCGTACTAGAACCAGTTGAAGTTATATAAGATGATGTAGTTAAATCAAAATTACGTGATTCACCAGGTGTTACAGAATATGGTATAGCAAGTAGAGCAGCAGATGAAGCAGAAAATGAAGCTCGATCAATTTTAGATGTCATCATTGAATATAAATCACAAATCGAATAATCATTTAAATATCATATTGACAAGGTTTTTCTTTCGACTGCCATTGTAGAGTTTGTTGTTATGGTAATTTTATAAACAAATAATTATAGAATATAAATACAATATTTAATTAAAATATAAAATACATTTATTTTTTTTAGTTTATTACATATGGTTTTTTAAGATTTTTTTTCCTATTTTTATAAATGATCCATCATTTCAAATGGATATATAATTAGCAAATCAAAATATAGAATGAATCATGCATTTTCTTTTTTTTTGTGTACTTTTGTTTTGTATATGAGTTCATGTCGTCATCTTTATAGATTTTTTAGATAAAGAAATAAAAATGTTGAAAACAATCTTTCGTCATGGATGTCGTCTTCGACCAGCCCTCAATTTGCGTTTATCAACATCATTAAATAATCGTTTACATACGTTATCTCCATCTAATACGTATCAAAATGGTCAAGTGAGTTTATTAAGTAAAAATTTTTATTTCGATTATTAATATTTTATTTAAATAGGTTTGGCCATATGTTTTTGTATCACGTCGTACATCAATACTTGATCAACATGTTAAAGAGGCTGGTCAAATGCGCACACCACCTCCATTGACACCGCGTGATATTGAATCACGAGTATTACGTATATGTAATGAATATGATAAAATTCAAGAAGCACATAAAAATAAGGTGAATAATTTTATTAATAAGATTAGTTTCTCTAGAAACAGAGAATGATCTTTAAATGGCATATGATTGATTAATATCTGACTTTTAAAGAATAGTAATAGAAATATAAAGATATAACATGCAGTTTTTTCTTTCGACTTTCTAATACAATAATGAATAGATATTACATAAGTAGAATTTAAAACGAATAAGTGGTTAATTTGTTTGTTTAATTGCCATAAATTATACGAGCAAATGGTATAAAATGAAGAAAAAACATAAATAATTCTACTGATTGAAAGTCTTTTGTTTCATACGGAGTAGATTATTTTGCACTCTTCTTATCAATATATTCAGATCATTTTTATCTATTTATTCGATGTATACTATTTTTGATCCCGTAATCAGTGACAAATATTCATATAAATACATTCATATAGGAACCATTTTCTATTTCCAAAGGAAACTTAATTTGTCGAGATGAAAAGTTATGAAACAATCTTTATTCAAATTTTTAAATCTCTTCTAAAACGAAAACTAATTCATGCATTAAACATCAGTCCGAAATTCCAGAAGGATTTTTTTCTATGAGAAAATGAATTGAAAATAGTAGATGTAATAAAAAGTCTTTCAGACAAATAATACAAGTATATTAAAAATTTTAATAACTATTTGAGACATGTAAACAAATATAGAATGCTGAACTTACGATCGTTAGTAGTAAAAATCGTATTCGAAACAATTTTCATTTGATTATACTTAAGATTGATGAAAAGTTCTGATAACATTTCAATAAAAGTATAGAAAATTTTTTTTTTTGTATTGTTTATTTTGAAATATTTTTAACTAACTTCAATACCACATAAGTAAATTATGTTAGTTAAACTACGTTCGATATAATTACTTAATAAAAGATTACATTGTGCCAAGTCAAGCAAATATAGCCCATGTGACATAATATTAATGTCTCCCTTTATTAAAAACTAATGGTGTTGGATGAGTATGAAGGCAATGAGGATCGTCAAACAATGTTGTATCTACTATCTGTGTCTTGTTTCATAGTTTGTTAACAAGAGGCTGTAGACGATTTTTGGACTGAATAATTATGATTTACAGTCTTGTCTATATTTATATTATATAAAAGTCCAGGACCATTTGATTTAATGAATATACGGCATAAAGTTTTCCGTTCAAAACTATCCTAACGAACAACAATCTTTAATAAGCCATTCTTATTAGTTTAGGTCGTAGTTGTTGACTTGCAGTCAAACTGTCTCTATCGAAACTATGTCTGGTGATCTTTAATGATATCATGTAATTGCCATGATTCACCACGAAATGTCGCTGAATTTTTGCTAAAGGTTCTAAGTTATATCTATTTATCTTTATCGTCGAGTTGACGAGCGACTCAACATGATGTGACTTTTGTCATATTTAAATAATCGTAAATAATTTGTTCTATTATGCTCTAAAAGAGAAAAATCCCAACTATAATATCATCATAAGTTGAATGTAGACCATTGTGGATAACTTGTCGTATGAGTTCAATATATACATTTGTAAGCTCGAAAACTCGGGAATCAAATGAAGAGTTATCATTGTCACTCTTTCTTCCCTAAGAAATAATAACAGAAAAATAATTTTCGAATTTACACTGATCAAAATTTCATTATTAAACTTTTACAAGGAAGCCATTTCAAGTGATGAATTGTTTTCAAGTCCAAACTTTACGCATAAAGCAAAACCCAATCAGATATGAAAATTTCGAAAAAGAATACCCGTCTGTTACATCTTGCTTTCAGAGTTATAGCGATTTTAAATTATAGCAAGGTTTGTACCAATAACTCAAATGAAGAATATTGCGATCTGAGCTTTAGTCAACAGATAGTTCTAGTTATGCCTAGAATGTCCTGGAAATTTGAGATCAAAATGTCTTCATTCGTTTTGTTGGTACAAAGTGTACTATAGCCCAAAAATGACAATAACTCTAAAACGAAGGTCTAATGATATTCATCCTTTTGGAAATTGTCACGTTTACTTTATGCGTAGAGAGTCTGAACTCAAAAAAAATTTATCATTTGCAACGATTCTCTCTTCAGCTTTGTCATTTATTTCATAGATATGAATATTAAAATTAGCATTTAAAAAAAAACTAGATGATGAATATTTTAACGATATTCTAGTATATAAAAGTCTAAATAATTAATTAATAATATAAAAAGATTTTTATTATTTAGAACAAAGAATAAAATCGAAACTTATTATAAAATTTGTTTCTTCCTCTAGATTACTTTGGCAACACATTTTATGAATGATCTTGGTCTTGATAGTCTTGATCATGTTGAAATAATAGTTGCATTAGAAAATGAATTTGGTAAATTTATTTCTAATTAATTTGTTGAATAATTTATATATATATTTTTTTCTTATTTTAGGTTTTGAAATTCCGGATGCTGATTATGATAAATTATATACGGTTAAAGCAGTTGTTGATTATTTAAAGAAGAAAATGAATATTGTCGAACGTCCGAAACCTGTTGTTTCATCTGCATCTGATCCACGTTATGATGAACATCATCATTGACCTTTAGTTTATAAAAACATGTGTCTTGTTTGTTTACTATTATAACCTTACATTTTTTTTCTTCTAACAATCATCTAGTACACTTTAGATCAGCAGACAGACCTTGTGAAATATTTCATTTTTTTTTTTTCGTCATTCTTTTTCTTTCATGGCAAGACTATAAATAGCATAAACACTGAGTATGGTATGCCGACGATTATGACTACGTTTTTTTCTCGTTCTGTAAGAAAATGAAACAAGAAAAATATGATTAAGTGGAAGAAACAGTTGATTCATTTGTCAGATGATAGAATATGACGAAGGAAAAAAAGAGAGGAGGCAGCAGCAGCAACGCGAATGGCATATTATCTTTGTTGCGAAGAAAAACGACTATGAAATGACTATTTTTATACACAAATAAAAAATGAGAATAGTATTATGATCGATTGGATGGACGCATAGAAAAGAACAAAGTGCTCGTCAAAGAAAGAGAATCCGAAATATATTAAAATAACAGATAAAGGTATGTGAATAAGATTCAGTTATTTAAGACATATTGTTTTACTCATTTTTTTTCTATTAGTCAGCAAGAAATATAAGGATAGAAATAATATATATATATTTATATTCTTCATTCTGTCTATATAAAACTTCGACAGTCGGAAACCTATAAAAAGGCAATTTATTATGTAATAGACATAGAACAATGATGCACTGTGAAAAGTTTATCACGCATTGGAAAATTCATTTGAGAATAAACTGAAGTCTTACTCATTAATAGATTAATATATATTTTTTATATAGTCAATGGATCATTCGAAATATGTTAATAATTACGAATTCAGAGGATTTTGTTATATACAAGAGAAACAAACATTCATTACATTATTTTTCTTCATGATTTAGTCATCAACTACGATAGTATACTAAATAAATGCCATACTAGATTATTTACATGTAAGAAAAATGAGATGAGAGTGTCTTTTGATTAAATAAATAATAAACTAAGTTGTACTTCTTCAAAGGATAATATATCTCGCCAAATGTTGTATCTTAATGAATCGATTTATATCCTAAATAGATAATTCGATTATCGATATAAAATCGGCTTTCTTTTTTATCCTTATTGTATAATGATGAGAAAGATATTTTTCTCTTAGATATTCTTTTTTTCTTCGATATTACAGGTAAAAAAAGTCGCAAGTGAGCATTTTTCTTTTTTTTTCTTTTATTTATATCTGTTCGAATAATTGCACCGTACCGTTTACCTTCGTATTTTTATGATCTATTCAAGTATTCTAAAAAAAAAAAGACTTAGGTGTTTTTTTGTTTTTTAGCTTCAATATATAAATCTAATCAATAGTGATATATAAAATTTTTGAATGATATTTTATTATTAATTGAGTTATTATTATGGGTACGAATAATTCAAAAGAAAATTCTAATTCAACAGTATCAACTGTTAATAATAATAATCATACATGGCAGACACCTATAAAAAGAAGATCTTCAATAATTAATAAAACAATTAATTATTACGGATGGCAAGAAATTATTCGATGTTCACATACAGATTGGTTGAATGAAACTGCTGGTAAAAAGAAAAAAGAAATTTTATTAAGTTCATATAACCCTTTTTAGAACTATTTGGTTTTCCTCAGCATAAATTTATTTGTAATTCTGAACTTTATAGTGTATGTGCACCTGGTTTTTGTTCAGAATCTTTATCACGCAAACTCTATCATGGTTCTTATCG